CCTCAGAAATCGTGAGCATTTCAAAATCTAAAATTGGGGGAGGGGCTCCTCTCGCCGGAGCTGTTAGATTAACATTAGCACGCTTATTGTAGTTGTAAGTGCACTGCCTTGCGGCCTGTAGCACCGTCCTTGATGGAGCATATGTGTGGGCTGGACCTGTATTTTACAGGAAAGGAGTGAGCAGAGAGTGGAGTAGTTGTCGATTCTTGTTCTGTTTTCTGTGAATATCTGCCTCACCCTCTCAGACTTTGAGTTGCGCGCGCTACTAAAGAGACGTGTTACCATGGAAACCAAACAATGGTGTAGCTGTATTAAAGTCCGAGTGGAAACAGTCGTGTGTAAATCTGATTTTGTCAGAAATCGGGAGAAATGCGGGAGAAATATGAGCCCGGGAGGAAACCGGGAGAGGGCAATGAAATCGGGAGTCTCCCGCGAAAATCGGGAGGGTTGACAAGTATGATGCCCGGATTGCTGTGTGTTGAAATATTTCAAGGTGCTTTCTTCTTTCATCTCGTATAGAAGTACTAGGATTAACATGTACAAAGATTAGCTTTATCACAGATTCCTCATAGGCTGCAACCTGCGTTCACCCGGCCTCATTGTGCGGCTTCTCTGTAGGTAGGACATGCCTCACATTCCTGAGAAGTACCTTACATCCTGTTTCACTGTATTCACTTCTGCCTGCTGCAGCATGGTAGACATAAGGACCGTGATCATAAAGGTCAGGCTTAGTGTAGAACTGTGTAGTGCATGCACCTGTCTCAAACCTGCATTATTCCCCAAATAGATATTTATTGAATCCTAAGCAGCATCTTTTCGAGGGGGTGAATCAATATTTGTATATGGTTTATTTATCCTTACCATGTTGTTGACTTTATCTTATGAATGTTAGAGACCTGAGTCGTACGTACGTGGTTAAGGTTGTTCATTTGAGTAATGAATGATTAAAAGTAGGCCTACATTCATTATTTAAGCTACGAGCAGCAACACACAAAATGTAAGCAAACTGTTTCATGTATGTATACATGTTTGCAAAAAGCTACATAAGAAAATCCAATGCATAATTCACTCAGGTCAAAACATAGCAGCATTCAAATGGTTGAATGTTAGCAACTGGAGGAGGGAAGTTTGATTACAAACAATACAGCTTTTTCATTTTCATCCTTTATCATTTCTAACTATCACAACAGAGCCGGCCAGCTAACCAATCAGAGCAGACTGGGCTCTGGTTTCAGACAGAGGGGGAAAAGAGGTGCTGCTGCACAGGCAGTATGAGAAAAATAAAGAGCTTTTTGAACATTAAAGCATGGAGACATGTAGAGACACTACATACTGATATACACCTGAACATCAGCAGGAGAGGACTCTTTAAAGTAGAGACACTACATACTGATATACACCTGAACATCAGCAGGAGAGGACTCTTTAAAGTAGAGACACTACATACTGATATACACCTGAACATCAGCAGGGAGAGGACTCTTTAAAGTAGAGACACTACATACTGATATACACCTGAACATCAGCAGGAGAGGACTCTTTAAAGTAGAGACACTACATACTGATATACACCTGAACATCAGCAGGAGAGGACTCTTTAAAGTAGAGACGCTAAATACTTATATGAACCTAAACAATGAGACAGAATCGAGCCCCTTTAATAAGAAAGTTCCTTTTCTCCTCTGGTAGGATGTCTTTTGGCTTTAAAAAAATAAGCAAACAGCATAGAGAAAAAGCTGCTTAACTATAGAGAGATAACGAGCAGACATACTCTCTGTGTCTGCCTCTGAGAGAAATCATCTCTCTCCTCCGCTGCTCAGCTGTGTCAGCAGCAGAGATTTAATTGACAACTTGAAACCGTTGCAAAAGCATAGAAAGTCAAAAATCCACGACTTAACTTCCAACACTCCGGTTTTGCATAATCAGAAAGTCTCAGATCTTTTTTCACAGTGAGAGAGATGTCATTAAGAGATGATTAAAGGGTTGGCGCAGGCTAATGCTATCAAGTGTTTCTAGATTGACGTGTGGCCTGTGGGAAAGCAGCTTTTACATTTCACAGTATTCAAACCACAAGTCACTTTCACACCCACACGATTCTTGCAAAGCAGTCTGCACGGGAAGACAGGAAGAAAAGAAAGTGGTATGCTCTTTGCAGGGTTTGATATCTGATTAAACCTGCTGGCTTCTGTAAAGATCTAAACACATCAGGTGTTGACAATACCCCGGGGACCTGGGTTGGTTGGATATGTTCTACCACAGTGTTTAAACGAAAGCAAAGCTGTGGCCAGCCACAAGCCTCTTGCTGCATGTTGTCTGCAGAAGACCTGGGATGCTTTGAGACAGAGGGCAGAGGAAACTACAGCAACAGATGGAGAGAGATGAGACAAAACAGAACAACTTTTATCACATGTTGGGAGAAGATGAAAGAAGCAAGAAAACTTAGAATAAACAGAATGACATTTTGGAAGGATGTACAAGAGAAACATTTTATCTCAATCAAAAACATTTGTCTATCTTGTACATGCGTGTCTAAACAACACGTGAAAACCATTTGCATAGTTTCACTGCGTGGGCTTGCTGCATGATTAAAAAATGTAGGTCTATGTGTGTGTACTTGTTTATTCTCAGCTCTATGCATGTGGCGAGTGTGTGGATCAAACCGTCTGCTACACACACACCACACATCTGCATGAGTTTAACCGTTTCTGTCTCAAGGGTATGTTTGGTTTGGTTGAAGCCTCCGTGCATGTAAACCTAAATTAGTCTGTAACCTAATGAGTGCTGATGGATCGTTCTGAGACACATGCTTACAGGGCAGATTTGTCGGGGAACAATGGGGTAGCAGAAATAAGCTGCCGTGATGTCACTTTACACAAAGTAATTTGACCCATTGTTCATGAAGCAAAGTTAATGTAGCAGCTTTTAGTTCTCTGGTCTGCCTCGAAAACATCCTTTTACTCATGAAATCAAATCTACAGTATTTCATAATGACAAAACTCGTGATTTGAAATAAAAGGAAAACAGGAGGGTTCATTGTGGTGATTAACTCATTTCCAGGATTGACAGTGAGTATGCACGGCAGCAGAAATGATTTAATGGAAAAAAAGTCCCTAAAAGAAAGCCAGCACTGAAACGGCTCCAACACCTCATGGCACATTCAGCTGCCAAAATGCCACTGAAAGGAGTAAAATAGCTTCTCAGCTTCTGTGCCAGGCATGAGACTTAAGAGGATCGAGTAGTTTTGTTTTCATTCTGCTATTCGGTCTCTTTCTAAAGTAGAAGCTGGTGACGGACATTACATTACATGTTGGACGGTTTTATCCAAAGCAACTTACATACTGTGGGCAATCCCCACAGGAGCAATTTGGGGTGAAGTGTCCACAACGACATGCTAACTGCAGTGGGGTTTGAACCTGTGACCCCAACGACAAGGCTCTATCCACTGCGCCACACGCCTCCCTCCCAAACGCCTTTAGAGACTGCAGGACGATGTGAAGAGAGGATGAGAAACAGGATGTCTGTGTGTACTTTTCACATCTCTTATCTCCGCACCCATTATCTTGCTGAATCAAAACAAGAATAGCCACATCAAGCATGACAGCTACACGTATAGCTGTAAAAGAGTAAAAGCAGGTTCATACATGCATGCTATTTTTACTTCACAGTAAAACCTATTCTCCATTTTATCCTGTCCTAATACTCAAACTGGGTATGATACCAAATGAATCGGCTGTTTTAAAATGTCTATATATAGACATTTTAAANACACACACACACACACACACACACACACACACACACACACACACACACACACACACACACACACACACACACACACACACACACACACACACACACACACACACACACACACACACACACACACACACACACAAGCAAGTGTTGGTTTAACAAAGTTGTTTTCCAATACTTTGTACTCAAGCAACATATAACAGTTAACACACAACAGCAGAAAAGTGAAAAGCAGGGATAACTCACATTGACATTAGGGTTAGATTGATGTTAGAGGTTTGTTTGAAGAGACACAAGTGCTTAACGAGCAGGTTTGAGTAGTAGATTAGTAGGCCATTTCCAGTTTCAAGTAGCAACAGTAACTCTAAATGTACACCCTCACCCAGCTTCATGCTAAAAGGGTGTATGCTAGATGAGGACACTTCCTTGAAACTTAATTTTTTTTAAATGCTCACATCAGAGTTATTGTAATTTTATCTGAAATGTTTTTCATGTAGTTATGATAAACTTATAAAAAGCAAGCCCAAGATAACTATTACTACTGCATTACTTTTACTAGCACTTACCTATGCTAACATGTTAACAATAAATGTCAACTTTTAAAGTGTTAAATATAAGTCCAGAGAGTAAACAAATGTCTCACAGTAAAAATGTGAGACAAAAATATTTTGTTATTACTTTTTTAGACGTTAAACACAAAGCACTGCTAAGCTATGAAAGCGACCTAGCATTACACCTTTCTTTCCGTATATTTGTTTCAATGTAGGATAGTTGTAACTAAAAACCCATTGCTGTTTACATATGATATATTTGTTATATATCTACCAGAACTGAAGTGATCAGAACTGATTTTACTGTAACCTTTTGAAACAGATGGTAAAACTAAAAGTGCAAAAGTAGTGGTTAGGCCCATAGCATTGGTGGTATTGTTAGTTCAACTAGATAAAGTTGTTATTGCCAGGTATCATGCGTGAATTAGACATTTTTTGCTTGTAATATTCAAAAATAAATGCTTAATGTGTGAAAAAGACATCAATTGAACCCTAGTCAAGATGACAAAGCAAAGAGTTAAAGCAAGCGCCAAAGATCTCAATGAATAGAAAAAGTGATGGAGGAAAAGGTGGTAATTGTTCCTCCATGTTTCTAACGTGGCGCTGGCCTACCCTCTGCATGCCATAGTGGTGGTGGTGGTGGTGGTGGTGGTGGGGGGGGAGGTAGAGGGGAGGAGGGGTCTCAGTGCTGGCCAGGGACAGGTTGTCCTGGCTGTGGAGCTCCATCTCCCTCATCACCTGAGGCTTCAGACCCCCGTACAGATGGCTGCAGTGCTGCAGGCTCTTCCTCCGCCATCGCTGGGTGCTGTCGCTGTCTTTGCTCACCCCGAACCAGTCAGCCGTGCCCCTGGGGAGAGAGGGGGGCTGGTTAGTAAACAAGGGAACACTGCATATCCTCATATAGGTTTGTTTTTTATTTGGGAGTGGTATATCTCAATCTTCAATCTTTATTTATTTATATAGCACATTCAAAACAACCTCAGTTGACCAAAGTGCTGTACAGGGAATAAATAAAATATAAAATAACACAATGGGAGTAAAATAATAAAAAATAATTAAAAACATGATAAAAACACATACAAATGTAAAAATGGTATGTTCAAGTATTAAAAGCCAGTGCAAAGAGGTGAGCTTTTAGCTGAGATTTAAAGGTTCAATAGCCCGGATATGAACTGTTCCACATATGAGAAATATAATTAATTCTGACTTTGCCTGTCAGCTGTTTTGTGCATTTCAGGTAGCTGTTATGCTGTTATCCAGGGCACGATTACATACAAATATCAACAACGTGAATGTCAGAAAGCTCGCACATTGTTCCACTGTAACAAGATATTCTTGTGACATTTCAAAGTCACAGTATGTGGATATCTATGTGTATAAACGATAACATCACTGCTGTATTTATGCCTAATCTACACGCCGTCATATTGAGTGTGAATGAATAACAAAGTCATGACCATGAATGGGCTTAACCAAACTTTCATGTCACATTTTGTATAAGAATCACATTGCTGAAGTCGTTGTACATTTGAATTGTATACATAATCTGTTGAAGCCTTGAACAAATCTTGACACACACACACACACACACACACACACACACACACACACACACACACACACACACACACACACACACACACACACACACACACACACACACACACACACTGAATATTCTCGGGCGCATTGAGCCGTAAATCCCTCATGATTAGCAGAACAAAAGGATGATTACTTGATTGATGCAGCTGCTTGTTGGAGATGAATTGACTTGTTAATTGGTTCATTTGATGATTGTTTTCTTTTTTTACAGTGATAAAGAGAACCATAGCAGTAGAAAGTCAACGAGCATCTGCAATCTTTAAAATGTGGAACAGTCTTTTTTTTTAGGACACTAAATAGAAAGCCAAAATGCATGGTTTCATATAATACTTTTTTTTTTAAAAATACAACTTTGACCAGTTTGAGCTACAGTGCTAGTTTTTGTAATTAAACTAAAGTCTGAGTAAGGCAAATGTATAGAATAATTTTAACAACCCAAATCAGTTAAAACTTTAATCTGGATTACAGTTCAGTGGTTAGATATTGAAAAATCAACAGCACTATGATCAGATCGGGTTATTAACGGTGTTTTGTGCAACATTTACGCCAAAAACATCTTCCTTTTTCCAGTCCCCTTCTAGCATTTTCCTTTCTCTTTCATTGTGACTGTGATTGCATGGATGCTACCAATCAGCTTAAAGAGCCTGAATAAAAGATACTGTCTTGATCTTAACACGACCCACTGCCCTCAGTTCAAGCCTTCGTTAAAAAAGCAGATGTTGCTTCTTCAGTCCTGCACTTCATGGCTGTGTTTCTCATTTAAACTCAATACATGTCCATAGAGGTCCTCTTTTGAAACAGTGCCTGAGTGCCAGGCTGCGTGTTGGCCGACCAGCGGGGGAGGCCACGGTGGGGGAAATGTTTGGAGAGCAGGACACTCGGAAATAAACACTCATCATCAAGAGAGATGCCAGCTGGGGAAGCCTTTTAAGGATGCACAGGGGCAGGAGGGAGGCGGCGCGTCCCTGATTGTTGTCCTCCCAGAGAGGAAGGTCTTTTAGAAAGAAGACAGGTTTGGGAAGGCAAAGAGAATCAGACTGAGAATGGATGAGAAAAGTGAATAATTCGCAAATAAAATGGACCTAACATCCTGCTCAAAGACAGATGACGTTTGTTTATGGGCTTGTTTAGATAAGCAGGTATTTGTCTCTGTGTCAAGCATACAGGTCATATTCGCCAACACACAAAAAATAAAATAAAAATACTCCCGAGTGCTTGACGACAGCACAGATCCATCACACATTAAAGATTAAAACTAATGTTAAGCAACATGAATTAGCTTTTATGTTCTCAAGGTAAGGCTGGTTCACAGAGAGCAGCAATCTGATGTAATTACAGGCTTAGACAAGACTCATTTCATCAGGGAAGAAAAGGCCAAGGGGAAGAACAGAGTGTAATGTAAACAAATATACAGAGAACAGGAGGATTTTGAACACTATGTGATAAGTATTGAATGTTCTCATTTGATCAATCCACTAATGAGACATGTTTGAGTATGTACGATAAGTCTTTCCCTTTCATGTTTCCCTACACTACATCTCAGGGGTAAATATTGTTCTTTTAACTCAACTACATTCTTCTGACAGCTTTAGTTACATAGTTAGTTGATGTCGTGCTCCAAGTGCTACATCCTGTGTAGAGGCTTTTAAAAAACAACTGAAGACCTATCTTTTTACATTGGCTTTTGTTTATACTTGAGATGTTTTCTGTTCTTATGTTTGTTCTTTTCGGGACTCCCCCGTGGTCTGTGTTTTGTTTTGATGTTAACCTTACTTTTCTGCCTCATGTTGATATTGTATTCATGTTTCTGTGGTCTTAATTTTAACTTTTGTTCTTTCTTGTGAACAGTGGCGGTTCTAGACCAATTTTACTGTGGGGGGGGGGCCAGTTATTTCATTTGGGGCACAATAAAAGCGGGTTAAAAAGACAAAGACAGTATAAAGTAGACCCTCCAGAAAAACGCGGGCTAAAATCCTTGATTATGCGATTAAACATGCGGGGTTTTATGTGATTTTATGCGGTGAAATTGCGGGAAGTTGCGAAATATGCGGAAAGTTGCGAAATATGCTAAATATGCGGGGGAAAAGAATAACAATTTTTTAAAATATTGAGCTGTCTTATTTATTCTCTCTCACACACAACCTGCCACTAACGTTTAACCCCTTTACTATTCAATTAAACACAATCAATGTTTATTTATTGTAAAAGCAATTGGGCTATTTTAATCTCACACACACACCACCCCCCCCCTTCTCCGCTCATTCTGTTTTCATTTACTCGTTCGTTATCTGACCAGGCTTCAATCTTGTAGGTCTACTCACTTCGTTGTCTTGTAGCCCTCGAAAGGGTTTTGAGGTTGATCCCTCGGTGAGCGTGAGTCGTTTGGCTCCTCTGATTCCGCGACCTCACCGTAATCCCCCGTTACCGTCCGTCCGCAAGCCAGCCAGCACAAGCATTTTCGAATGTTTGAATGAACTCAAGTGGGCGTCCACCGTCGATTTTCTCTTATGGCTGCCAAACAGCACAGTTGCACCGGGGTGGCAGAATAGTTTCGCGCCCCACTTTGCCCGGTCTTTAGTAGAATGTCGTCGGTAAACCTGAGATGGATAGGATTTTTCATCCCCTTGGTGTTTTCTCTATGTGTGAGCTCCACACGTTCAGCTCCTAATACCAGTGTTGTTTACATTCTGATGATGCGCGAAGCTGATGACGCAAGACGAGTTAACTTTTTTTTAAAATTTTATGCGTGGGAAAAAATGCGAGGATTATGCGGCCCTTTTGATAAAATATGCGCGCGGGGCATTTTCAAAATCTGGCGCCATTTAGTGCTGATTATGCGGTAAATTCTGGCGATCGGCAGAATCGCGTTTTTCTGGAAGGGTCTAATAAAGTAAATAGTGTAAAAGAAAGCATAGAAATACAGTAATTGGTATTTGTTTTAGTACAATTTGAAGTTACAGTTCTTGATCAGGCGGTAGTTTTTTCACTTTTAGAGTATTGTGTTTTAGTAACTTTAAAGTGACAATTTAAACTTAAAAACATAAAACAGTGGATGTTTGCTTTTATAAGGGCAATGAACAAGTTTAATGCTCCAAGTGTAAGCATCCAGGTCTCTGAATTGATTTAGTTGGCAATAATTGAAATAATTGTAACCTTTTTTTTAAAGGGGGGCACAGGTCAGTGTTCAGCGCGGGCAGCTGGCCCCTATTCGCAGCCCCCGCCCTAGAACGCGCCCCTGGCTTGTGAAGCACTTTGTGAATGGATTTCTGTGAACGGTGGCTATACTAATACAACGATATTATTATATATTATTAGCTTCTTTTCCCGCACGTCAGCAAGTACACCTCAACTGTCCCAGAGAGCCTCTCAGGAGGGGTTGAGGGTCTGGGTCATACCTGAAGAGGGGGGCATGGCCGTGGATCTGTTTATCCTCCATCATGAGCCCAACACCACTGTCCCCACTTTACCCCCGGCATTAAACGCCTGATCCGTCTGCATAAACGAGAACACAGATACACAATACCATCGAGGGATTATCCCTGATATGCCAGGCGCAGCGGTACCTTGTAACACTCAGCGTTATGAAAGAGAGGGATGATCACTCAAGCATGTCCAGACTCTGAGCAAACATCCGGTTAATCAAAGGTCGGAGGAAAACCGGGCGTTTATCTCTCACTCGTATAGACGGGAATCTGATCCAATTCGCGATGGAAATGAGGACTAGGTCCACCACTGGAGCACTCTCTTGAAAGTAGACTGATATCGATTTTCTGACCTTAACGTCCCCACCTTGCACAAGAGTTCCCCTGTGTGTGTGTGAGAGTGTGAATGTGTCAGTGTCTGCAAGGGCCTCCCAGTTCCCTCCTTGTGAGTTCACGTAAAAAAGGATGTGTCCTACTGGGCAAAAAGACAAGTGAAGCCTCTGGTCGCTTGCAACTGAATCCCCCCTCCCCAAAACGCTTCTATCTGTCCCTGCATTGTTTGCTCAGGAGTCGTCTAAACACTAGTTCGTTCCACAGGAAAATGAGAGAAGGATGGGACATCACACGACAATTAGAGGGAGTAGCAGACAGAGGGAGGGCACCTGGGACATGTCTGGACGGGAGCACACACTCACTGCATGCAGCAGCACCAAAAATAAGGTTTAGCTCCAACCGCCCTTGCTTTGCAGCGAATAGAAGTTCAAGGGTGGTGTAATCTTCATTTAAACACCGCTATCATTACTGAGAGCTGAGAGTAAAATTATTAACTCTGGCCGTGAGCTGTCCAAAATTAATGGCTTCCTTAACCAATTAGACTAACATCAACCAAGCACTCCATTAAATCCTAACAAAAGCAGCATTCGTCAGCAAATCAACGCTTCGATATACATTAGCATTACATTAGCATTAACATACATTGCATTTAGGGCTGACGGCTTTATCAAAGGGCGAACTTACAATAAGTGGGCATTCGACCAGGAAGATATCAACTTTAAGAAAAACAGAAATCATGATAAGTACATCAGGTTCATCAGAGCCAAACATTTCAAAGTGCTACTCAACTGGCATTTAAAAAGCCAGCCCTTTAATTAGTATATACAGTGCCGTGTTGTTACGTAATTTTAGTCGGCTTCGAAGTGGAGTCTTAAAGAGATGAGTTTTCAGTTTGCGTCGGAAGATTGTGTAAGCATCTGGCTGTCCTGATTTCCAATGGGAAGCTCATTCCAGCATTTTGGAGGGCCAGGATCAGGGCAAACCCCAACCCAATATACGCTTTGTTTATAAGGCATACTTGTGGGCACTAAACAAGGTTCAATTTGTATTTTGTGTCCTCAACAACTGTGACATGTTTACGCTTTGCTTTAATGTTGCAACGACTTGCTTAGGTTACTTTGTTCTGTAAGGTTTACCTCAGCCTGCTTGCAGATAAACACTCTCTGCTCGCAGGTGAGGCTTGACTCACTGGAGGGCTGGCTGTGTAAGTAATGGATTCAGGCGAAAATATCATGTTTTAGGGAAGCTGGGCAGTTGCTCAGAATGAAGGATCAAAAAAATTAAAGGGACTTGACTTGGGAAGCTGAAGGGGTCGGCCAGTTCAAGAATTGAAGAAACAGGGGCAGTGCCAGTTCGCCTAGCTGGCACCGAAAAACCAGCTGCTACCTGGTGCCAGATAACCCTGACAACGGGAATAAAGTAGGGCCTTTTTATAAACATCAGGATGAGCCGCTCTGAAGAGTTCCTGTTGCTCCAGTGAGGCCTTGAACTCACAACCTCTCGGCATTGACTGCGCAGTAGTGCTGGGGGAAACCGATTATTTTGAAAACCGATTAATCGGGCGATTATTTCAATGCGATTAGTCGACCTAAATCTACGATTATTTTTCTGTTGTTCGATTTATAACGAAACATAAGGTATGGCTCAAATAAATACCAAAAAACATTACTCTCATCTCGTGACAACTGGCGGCACCCAGCTACGTGCAGCCCTGCGCGCTGGACATTGCTTTGGCTCCTGGGTTGCAATTGTCCGCCAGAACCCTCCACAGGAATCCGAAAAGCTCCGCCGCAGGTGTGAGTTTGAAGGGCGCTCCTTGAACTTGGGCGCTCCCTCAGGCAGACCGTTCCGCAGTTTTCAGCCCGAACTACACGTTTGGGCCCTTACCAGGTCTCATCCCAGAGGTTCTCTTTAATTTTTCTCATCACTGGCCTGTGCTGCAGGCACCGTCCTTTTCAGCCTCCTGTCTGAAACCAGAGCCCAGTCCTGCCCTGATTGGTTAGACCTGGCGCGCTCGTTGTGATTGGTTCAACCGCTTAGAATGTCCTGCGGCCCCTTAGCCTATCCATGTGGGCCCCTATCAATGTTTGGACGCGGCTAGCCGTTAGAAGCGCAAGTGTTAGCATAAGTGATGTAACGATGATTCTTAGAAGCTAAGGGTTGGGATTTGGACTCTTGCAGACCATTAGCATGGCACACAAAACGCGAAAAATGACATACTAAAGGCAAACGTGAATCCACTAAAAATCCATAGGGCCTTCAAAGTAGTTGAGGAATATAATCCGGTATTTATGCCACTCTTTTAGAGGAGGAGGATCCTCTGGGCAACCTCCTGAACGACACACTAACTTTCCCTAATCGATTATCTCTCTCATAAACAGTCCAAAGCGTAAATCTGTTTCTTCTCTGCCACACTCAGCACGCCACGCGCAGCAAACACACGCACGCACGTGCACACCGCACACGGCAACACTTGGCATGATAAGGTGAACGGCTCTTGAAGGGCGCCTGGTCTCCAGGTTTTTTCTGGCCCCCGCGTTCAACATATAGCATTCTCTCCAAAAGGC